GGCATTTTGGGAGAACACTGGTAGGAATATCATCTTATTATATAAACTATGTGATTACATAGTTTGAATTTAAGCCTGTTAGACAACATAAACAACAAATGCTAGCTTTTTTTAGGTTTAGATAGAGGTTTTGAGGAAGCAGCATATCATTTTCAGCAATTTTTTTCCACTGTTTTTACTTGGGATTAATCAATCATTTATCTCCTGTGTAAGAGGAAAAGTCCTATCTTCTTATTGATAGTAGAAGGTAACAGGATAATCAGAGTAATGATAATCAGATAAAATAATTAGAAATCACTTAAATTTAAAATAGTGGATTTCCAATCTCATTTCCAAGGTTAACAGTCAACAAGGCCAGATGTTTCTGTGGAATAAACTAATCTTAAACCTAATTTTAAAGGATTACCTTTGATTATTTTTAGATTTAATTTTATAAATGATTTAAATATGTTTGCATTTTTACTAAAATTAATATTGAAGTTAAAGTATTTTCAAAGAAGTTGGTTTTAAAGTGTCCTTTATTTAGAGAACAGATTATTCTAATTATTCCTTACATAGACTGTTTAGCCTTTTTTGTTTGTTTCTGAATGAAATAGATAGTGATGTTATTAATATAATTGATGTCAGAATTTCTTACTGAGCGGTGGTTCACACACAGCCAAGAATAATGTCCATTCTGACAACCACCAATACTAATAGTGCGGGATGATTGTATTAGTCATGTTTTCAGTCACTGGGCTTGGAGAGAGTTAATGAAGAAGCGCTGTAACAGCTGGTACAGCGCCTTCTGGTGAGATTCTGACAGTGAGCTATTGTATACCATGACACTGCTCTGACAGTTTATCTGGATTTTGTATACAAGCATTTTTGTTTTCTGGGCACCGTGGAGTTTATATAATAGCTGAAGCTTTTGATAGCGTCTCTGGAGCTTAGTGTTTTTCTCAGTTGTGAGGTTGAAGGTGGGGTGGGAAAGATATATTTACTTGCAATTTTGTAAAAGGCC